GTAGCATGTAATATAAGGAAAAGGCGTGAATAAGGCAATTTATATTTAAATCATAAATTGTGTAGAACATTACAGATATTTAAGCATAAGGCAAATAAAAATGTATGCCAAAATTTTAATTCTAGAAAAGGTTTGTAAAAAATAGTGTATTTGGCATTTCTTAAAATAAGTATTAAAGGTGCAAAAATTTGCTACATTTTGAAATTCTCGGTTAGGAAAATTTAAATCATTTCCTTTATTTGAAGACTTCCTAGTTTGTAATTTAATACCGTTCCTGATTAATTCCAGGGAGCATTGCAGAATTATGCGAGAATGTATCATTCCTTTGCAGAGCATGTTAAATAGCAATGTTTCTCAGAATATATTTTGAAAAGGATTGGGCTGTAACATAAAATAATAAGAGTAAAGAGAGGGAAAACCATACATAAACCAAAAAGCATTTAAATAATATTTGACAGTAGGAATAAATTATTTTTAAATATTGCCTTTTAGAAAATTGCTTCGGGTATCAAAACTCATATTACAATCTGAAAGCTCTTCCATAACATCAAAAATTGAGTTCTACATGATGAGATCTGATTATAACCCCCCAAAATAGCTAGGAATAACCTATTGTATTTGAATCTTTAAAAAATAAAGTAACCATGCTAATATAAATAGCATCTATATTTATTAATTATTGTCAATGCTTCATTGTTGGCCTCCAGTAAATGTTTCAAAATTGCAGAATGCTACAGTGGCTTCTAAAAATTACAGTTAAACATTTCTGCACAAATCAGTACAGAGTCTGAAAACAGACTTGCAAGTAATAGAAAGCCATGGAAGAAGATTTAAGCACGGAGTTTTTTGGAATCATCTCTGGGAAGGCAAATTGCAAACAGTATTAAGTGAATTAAACAGCAGTTGAAATACTAAATCAAACATCTGCCATGGAATGTATGGTGTGTATTACTCCATTGTAGCTAAAATGACCCACTAACATTAGTCAGTGGGAGCATAAATTAGATATTAATGACTGTCACTTGTGAAATACTTTATCCTCTCAACCACAAACAAATGTACTACACAAAAATCATTAAGGATTCCCTAACAGTCATGGGGTTTTTCATATTGTTCATATTCCCATGCATCCACTTAAAAATGAATGGTTTGCCTAATTGCCAACCATTAGGGCTAAGGGGAGTGGAAAAACAAAAGCACCGACAAAACCTTCTTAGAAGTGATCACCTGATGTTGACATACAAAGTATAATTAAGAATTTGGATATAAGAGAGAAAAGAAACAGTGAAAAAAATGATTTAATTTATTTTACAATTTTACAAATGATAAAACAATAATACCCGGTTGCTATACACAAACAATAAGAAAACAGTGTTGAACAGAATGAACTTGACAGAATAAACCTCATCTTTCAATTCCACAAATTGTATAAGAAATACTCAGTAGCAATTATTCTGTGCAGCAATGCTATCTCTGTAAACTCTTTTTTTTTTTCCTGCTATTTACATTTGAAACACTTGTGCTTTTGCCAAGTACAAATAAAGAAACGATATTTATTAAAAGGTGCTACTTAAATGAGAAACACAAGGCCTGGAGCCACAATCTGAAAACTGTAATTCGAATACATTGCTAGCTTGAAGCCTTTACTTTTCTTCTTTATTATTACTTTTAAGATTTGGACATACTAGACCCTCACTATAACTCTACATATGAACGACATAAGATTCAGTTATAAACTAGATACCTCTGAAAGCAGGTTAGTAACTGAAGTCTCAAAAGAACTTCTTTATTCTAAAGTGGCCTTACTTATCTCCAGGGGAGTTCACAGTGCAGACCCTGAAGATGTTAGCATAACACAAATCTAGTGTGTACATATTACAGACTTAGTGTGTATACACACATATACACATATATAACATTGTATATATGCATCACACATGTCTATTTGTACTATATAGATATATCTATAGCACATATATAATAAAATATCTATTTCTAGGTGGGCCTTATTTGAATTTTCTTTCATCAAATACAAATAATAACCCTCATTCAATTTTTAAAACATTGGGATATTGTTAATGTTTGATGGGAAAACTTTCAAACTGGTAGAGATGACAACTAACTATTCACAACTCTTCCCATGCCCCTTCCACAATTATATATACTCCCTACAATAACCACATGAAAACAACTCTTTTATGAATCAAATATCACATTATATGCATTATGTCTAACTGGCTCAATTAGAAATAAATTAATTTGTTCATCCTTTTTCTGTATAGTAACTGAATAACTAATTGGTATGTACACTACCTCTAGCATTACTTAAATAAATTGCTTTTGTAAGCATAAATATAGAAATTCCCATTAGCAATTGATATACAATTCATATGATATACAATACATGAAGACATTTGAATGCCCAGCACCTTCTTTCAGATAGAAAAACTTCCACAGTAGTTTCATCAGTCCTGTGAGCTGAATCATTAGATTTGCCCAGAAAATCTATTACTTGCTAACTTTTTATTTTTTTGCAACTTAACATTAATTAAAGCACAGGCTGAGTAATAATGATGAAAATGTTTCCATGGCCTATTCATGTCAACAGCACAATAAAAACCATGTTCTGTAAAGGACAGGAATATTTCACAATCAGCTACCTGAGCATTGCCAGGTACAGGGTTAAATAGTGAAAAATAAATTAAAATATTAAAACTGAGTATATGATATTTTCAAAATTAAAAAAAGAAAAAAACTCCAGATATTTCAAGTATGCTTTTATAATATGATTTTGTTATAATTCTTTATGCTCCCCTATTGGTTAAATCTCAACTCTTTTTCTTACTCTTTAGCCTTCATTGATCTTGCCCTGTTCCTAGAAGGAGGCCACAGTAGACAGTGAAAGCCAGAGGACAGACGGAAAGGTATACAACAAGGAATAAAATGGGCTCGTACTGCTTGTCTTCTTTGAACCCTAAATACCTTTAACTTAATTCATTCTTGACTATTGAAAGTTCCCTGAGATGAACAAAAGTAGTCTCAGTCGATACTGAAGCCCTTTTCTCATGCTGAGCGTTTTTGGAAGTGGGCAATGTATTTAGGGAACACAAAGGATAAGGTGACAAAGCAATGCGAAAAAGCTAAAAAGGCACTACTCAATGCATCTACGAGACAAACATCAATGCACAGAACAATGAATGGCTGAGATACGTGTGCTGTGGCCTTAACATTGTTTAAATGTATTTATTGAAAATATACTAAAAATGGGAAGATGCGATGGCTCATGCCTGTAATCCCAGCACTCTGAGAGACTGAGGAGGGTGGACAACCTGAGGCCAGGAGTTCAAGACCAGCCTGGCCAACATGGTGAAACTTTGTCTTTTCTAAAAAATACAAAATTAGCTGGGTGTGGTGGTGGGTGCCTGTAATCCCAGCTACTTGGGAGGCTGAGGCACAAGAATCACTTGAACCCAGGAGGTGGAGGTTGCAGTGAGCTGAGATCACCTCACTACACTCCAGCATGGTGACAGAGTGCGACTGCATGTCAAAAAAAAAAAAAAAAAAAAAAAAAAAGAAGAAGAAAAGAAAAGAAGAGAAGAAAATATACTAAAAATGGCAAGGTACCTTGCTACTGCTTTTTAAAAACATACTTGAATGAGTGCCTGGATGGATTTTACCTATAAGAAATTTGCTTGTGACTTCTAGATTTTTGTTGGACTTAAATTAAAGGCAACTTGAACAACTTATTTGCAAATAGTCCAAATTTAGATTTTATAAATCACTTTCAATTTGTTAAGTAAACCTGACTTTTCAACTTTACATGTGTCTAATTCTCTTACAATATCCAATAGATAAGAGGTTTAATTATAAAAGTACATCAACATTCCATTCATTTTTAGCTATCAGTCTCCTATATGCATTATATTTTACTCACTTATAGACACATACGTTCTCAAAAGATGTAATATTCCATATCCCAAGGTTTTATTATATTTAAAAAAATACTACATGTAATTTAAAATATTGAGAATTGTACTACTGTGAATATCCTTTTCCCTGGACAAACACATGCACACACACACACACACTATGGTTTTTATTCATTTCTCAGATTGTTTTCCCTAAGAAACAAAACATATATATTCTCCATGCCATTTCTTCTTTCTTCAAACTGTCTCCCCAAGAAATAAAAAATCAAAGTAGAAGTGAGAATGCAGTGCTTCTGCTTTCTAAACAAACAATCTACTATCATAGTATAAGTTACCAGAAAACTGGCCCATTGGTCAACTCTGTTATACATTAAATTTTTAAAATTACTTTGTTAATAATTTCATGTGTTTCCTGAAAAACACATGTGATATTGTGACTAAGTTTAACTACAGAATATATTGGTCAATTAAATTCATTTTAAGTGCAAAATATTGACACAATTTTCTTGTTAAACCTCTTGAAATTAAACATCTTTGTTTTGAAAACAATACTCTGTTAAAATTGATATTTCTGCACTAAGAAATTTAACAGTAATGTATACAGCATTCCCATATTTCCATTTGAATAACAAGGGAAATATCAAAGAACTGGAAGTCACATTTCTCTATATCAATCAAATATTTATCCTAAAGGGCAAAATGCTTCCACAAAATTATTTTGTAATGTAAAACATGTGAAAGACATTTCAAATGAAAATAAGGTATGAGTTTGGAAATTTAAAAATATTTAGAGACAACTTTCACATTCATAGCAAAATAATATATTCATGTTAATTATATATTATTTTCATTAAAGAAAAATTGTTTGCTTTAATCTTTGTAGAAACACAAGTATAATCTTTGGTACCAAAGATCTTTTTTCTTCTGCCTATTTTACCATCTCAGATGACATGGAACATCTTTTCTTTAGAATGGCCTAATATTACATAGTGGCACAGTTTAGCTGGTACCTTCTACACCATTGCAAAATAATATGGAGGTTTAGAGTTGTGCAAAATAAAACATTTGTTTAAAAAAGTCTTTGTGTGATAGATTTCCAAAAAATATAAGAAATTTAAAAATAATTACTTAAAGTTTATTTTCCTCATTCATATGTATCTCAGAAAGGATTTCTAAGCACCCCAATACCCAAACCAAAAGAGATTCCAGAAGACAAAAACATAAATTTAAACATAAAATTTATAATCAGACTCAGAGTCCTGACTGAAGGCATTTACTTGAGTTGTTTAATCTTATGGATTTCATTGCTCAAATCGCTTCCATCTTGATTTCTGATGACAAGGATGGTTTAGTTTCCCAAGGACTGAGTTGTGTTCCTGGGGTTTCTCTTCCAATGTGCTTGGAGTTGCTGTGGGCAGCCTGACAGTGATGAACATATTTACTTTGCTAACTAATGATGAGTGCACTGTTGGATCTTGTAAACACTACTGATTATACATTCAAACTGTATTCTTAGTGGAAGTGGCACTTACTAGGACCCTTGAAGTCAAAATATTTAATTTTTAGAGCACTTTGCAGGTATTTCATCAGCTGGTAGTAAGTTTCTCATGAACGTCCTTTATCAACCTTTCAGTTAATTGGTGGATGCTGAAACCCAGCCATGTTTTGGATCCTATTTTCAAATCTTCGGAAGCATCTTCAGAAAAGAAGTCCATATTGTCTTTATGTTTTAAAATGTGCTTTATTGCTTTACACACTTTCCTGTTGTCAGTTTTAGAGCTCCTCTATTATGTAGCACATTTAATGTTTTGAATTCTAATGGCATTCTGTGAGGGCTTGCATTAGAAAAGTACCTATATTTTAAGTCATCATAGTAATGATATTTGACAGCTTTTCCATTCAAATCCTTAGGAAATGGCCAGAATCCATACAGGTGAATTTCATCACAGAATCTTGTGGCAAGTGTATACATGAGGAGACCTGTGCTGGGTCTTTTGATAGGAACTTTGTTGGTCAGCCAGTAGCTGGAAAAACAAAACAAAACAAAACAAAATCAAGAAGAGAAGAATTTAGAGAAATATAGAGTATATCCTATAACAATTACATGATGTAGAAAACTTAAAAGGTATCTTTATGAATAATATTTTAAAGGATAACTGAAGAATTATTTTTAAACATTTAGAAAATTTGATGCTTTTATTTAATTTTTTCTTTATCCCTTATTTTCTTTCTTATTCTTGAGGTTATATAAATACCCAGGGGACCTGGGATGTAGGTAAATATTACTCTAGAATCTCAAGTTTGAAATGAACCAATAGCAAACATTTTTATAATATATAGAGTAACATTTTCTCAGAAGAATTAAGTATGACTGCACAAGTCATGATAATTGGGTACAGATTAAGTAATCCTCCTAAAAAAAAATAGATGGAAACTATGACTACAGATTTTCAAAATGTTGATAATACAATTAAAAATCAAGGAAAAAAGACTTTACCTATGTTATATCAGCTGATTTATTCAGCTCTATTTTCCAAATTACATTTTACTAAAGCAAATTAGAAGACTTACTTCTATTCACATAAGAACAAAAACAATAAAAAAGTTGTAGAATAATTGATAGTTTACCACTTATACCATTTAACATTTTATTAAATAGGTAAAATATATTTCAATGATTGTAAGTATTTTATAGGCAATAAAGTACTTCAAAATGTTTAAATCCATCATTGCTATCAAACATTGTTGTGAAAAGCATGCAAACTCACAAATTAATCATCACCTCTGTAAGAAAGGGGGCTTCCAATATTTCTTGGCATATTCATTTCCTTAAGGATAATGATCTTTTTTGAAAGCAGCTGAGAGAGTGTGGATTTTTTTCTTATTTTTAAAGTAGTCTAATTATAAACACAAAAACTTAATATGTTTTTAAAATTATTTAGATTTTACTATTGTCTTCTATTTGGAGAGATACGTATTCTGCCATCCAAATTCAAGGGGAATATTATGTTAGATTCGGATGGTTGCTGTATTTAATAAACTTGCTTTAGATTTAACATAATATTATTTTTTTCTTTTCTCTCTTTTTTAAAACTTTTATAGTGCTTTCCAGGAGAGATAAAATACATCTAGAGTACTGAGTATGAAAAAAACGTAAAGTGATATGTTACTTCATTTCCTTAAATAAATTTATGCTTTTAAACTTCACTGGAAACATCCAAAACAGGAAAAATATACCTGGCCATTATAATTCTATATTTTGTCTTTCATCTTCTCCCTTCTCCCAGTCAGGATTGGCCTTACATATTTTCTCTTTTCCTTTTTTTTTATTTTATTTTATTTTATTTTATTTTATTTTCTCTTTTTCTTATTTAGTGAAGGCTGTGGGCTAAATATTTTGAGCTGTATGAAATGTGTTATGAACCCTTTGATATCACAGTTGTTTTAAGACTGTCTATTATCCATAAAGAAAATTTTATAAGGAATTTTCAGAGAAGAACATCTAGGAATTTTCTCATAACTCACAGGAACTGAATGAGCAAAACCATAACCTATACACTATTGACATAATGTGGAATCCATAGACATTGATTCTAAGCCAGGAGCATACTCAAACTTCTGGGAAGACTTTGAAGAAACTATGATGTGACCTGAAGCTCTCTGGGCTTTGAGAAAACAAATATTTTTTTAATTTTAATTTTAATTTTAATTTTTTTATTTTAACATGAAATAATGATTATGGAAAAGTGTTGTGAATGTGATCTGTGTATGGTTACAGATGTTAGGTGATTAAGTTGATTAGTTAAAAAATGTATCTGTTTATAAATGTTTAAAGTAAGCCAAGAAAATTCAAATTCAGTAAAAAAAGAAGAGTATTTCCACTGGCAAAGTCAATGATTAGAACAATTTGGCAGTATGAGGGTCATGCTGAGTTATTTCTAAAGTGAGAAAAATGCTGCTATACTACTTGTATGAAACTCCAAGTTCTAAATATCAATGAATGCTTTCTATTTTCTAATTTTGGAGAGATTTCTTAGAGGTTTATATAACTACAACTGCTCATAGACAAATACCAAAGCAATTTCTATACGCAATACAAATAAGTAACTACAATGTCAGAAATGCTGAAGGCAAAATTATTGGCTTACATGCTTTAAAACAGTGTCAGAGATGTACAATAAACCTTTTTTGATACAGGGCATCTTATGAGGTATCACAAATAAAATATCACTGAAGTGCCTTGAAAATGAAACTGATTGCAAAGCATCTTATTTGAAAATAATGAGTAGAGTGGCTTTAGAAACTTTTTGGGTCTTATTCTAAATAAATAACTATATGCAATTAAAATATTGAATTAATTTAGCTTTAGAAATGTTAACAGAAAAATTAGTTTGATGATATTTGATCTGCAATACTTTGAATAATTTCAAAGAAAAATATGCCATCAATATTTCAGGACATTTTTGAAGAAACAATACAAAATAAAAGCCACTTATCCTATTGATTTCTAAAAAGTGTCACAGAAAAATACACCTTAATAAATGTCATCAATATGTAACAGATAAGTTGAAAATGCCTTAAATAAGTCAGGCCATAAGTAATAATAACATTCTAAAAATTTAAAAACACAGACCTGATCAAATGCAGTCTATAAGACTATATTTTGTGTTTATTATCAACCTAATGTTGTGCCTGAAATTGTATAGGCCAATCTAAATTATTGCAATTCAGTATTTGCTCAGTAACAAATTCTACATGTAAAAAGAACAAGAATAGACATTCTTTTTAATTCTGTTAGCGTAATTGGTTAGATAATATTAAAAGGTAGAGCCCAGACTGCAATTTTGAAATCCATACCTAAATGTATCCACGTTTATACAATTTGATATTTTAAAACTGCAAATTTTTATGTAGTATATAAAAAATAGAATATTAAGTTGTTTTTCATCCTCATTGGAACAAATATTAAACTGAAAATAATGCATTGATAAAATCATGGAATATTCACACTGTTTCAGTATAATATGTTCCAATTTTTACTTCAAATGTACGTTATAGTTTAAAATTTAGCAAAATTTTAAATTCAATAATTGAGCTGCATACATGTATTTCTTTTTATGTAAATTGATTTCTTTTTGAGTCACGAAATCAATGTAAGCTCCATGTATAAAATTTGAAGGGAAAAAAATCTGAGTAAGAAAAACCTTTACCTATAATCCAACCACATAAAGATAATTACTGCTACTGCTACAACATGTGGCATCCTTTTTCTTCTCTGGCTGATTTGGATCTTAATATATGTTACATTCATACATAGACATATACAAATTATTTTTTATCAGAAGAGTCTATGTTTTATTTTTAATATTGTTAATTTCCTCTGTTCTTCCTTCCTTTCTTTCTTCTTTCCTTACTTCCCTCCTTTCTTCCTTCTTTCCTTACCTTTTGTTTTATTATACCTTCTTCTGTTGTATGAAACATTCACTCTTGACTATATGTGTAAATAGAACATTTATAACTTTTTAACACATTTGATAGCCTCTGTAGATCTTACTTCTCTCAGCGTGAAAGCTCTGTTTTGACCAAGTGAGGTGTCTTATATACTCTAGCTCCAACATATTAGTTTCATTTCTTACTTCAAACAAACTCAAAATATGAAAAATATGAAATGTCTCTACCCACCAAACCAGTGTGCTATAGAAGGCTATATTTATAGTCAGAAGATAAAGCTTTGAATTTGTGATATGTTTATTGATACTTAAGAAAGCTGTGTCACTTCCTTGGAGCTCAGTTAACAATATTTAACATAAAAAGTTGTGATTCTGCAAAAGAGAAAGTAAAGGTAAAAGATCCTAAAGCTTGATATATAATAAGTAATACTACTTGACTTTCAACATATCCCAAAATAATCATTCTTCAATCCTACATCTCTCTTGGAAACTTCTGTGACTACATATTGGCTGGACAATTGTGGTCATGTCATGCAACCTCAGTGGAAATGTTTCCTTAATTGTGAAACAAACATTTAATTCTATGGCTTTGGGGTTTCCTCTATAACATTATAGTGCAGTTTCAATCTTCTCTCTCCATGAAATTGTGTGACTCATGCTTACTCCTTGTCTACTTCCTCCTCACCATTTTATTCTCTTTCCTTCCTTCAGGTTGTAATACATTGCAAAGAAAATAAGGTGCCTAATAAATACTTATTGATTTTAAATCCAGTATGATTTTATATTTTATATCATAATAAAAGCAGATAATAATCAACTGATGAGTCACAATACTTGATTATTTCAAGCAATCAGGGTTTTAGAAAAAAAGTTATATTTAACAATATTGATACTAAGGAGAGCTCACATTCAACATACTGACAGACACAAAGTATTCGTTTGTATTTATATTTAAATAAAAATGTCTAAAAGTTTAGAAGTATTACATGGTGCAAAAGTAGTTACGGTTTTTGCTATTGAAAGTAATGGCAAAAACAAAAAACAACAACAACAAAAAAAACTGTGGTTTTTGCTACTGGAAGCAATGGCAAAAACTGCAATTAATTTTGTACCAAACTGATAATCATATTTTTCCTCTGAAAATGTTATTCTTCTTCCAAGAATAAAATGTGACAATTTCTAGAAGAATTTGAATATAGAGAATAGAATCTCACTATACCAATAGTTGTAATTTAATGTTATATTATAAGCAAAGTTTTCATTAATGAGCCCAGAAATTCTTCTATCTGGAATGTGACATGAAGTGTATAACAAAATATATCTTTATACTCTTAATTCATGAGTCTCCTCTATTTCTCCTCTCATATTTATCTTCTGATAACTGAGATTTGTGCTTGATACCCCTGGAAGACTACGTCAAGTGTAAAAATATGGCTTTTGATCTTCCAGTCTAAAGTAATTTGAGATATTATAAAATAATTGGCTTTCTATAAGGAATCTTTGCAGGAAATGTCTGCACAACCCCAACTCTACAGTCACCCCAGAAAGCTAACAGAGACCATTTATGATGATAT